GAAAAAGAAAAAATCAAAATGTTACGATATTTAAGGTCCAATAACAATTACATGATGAATTTTGTAAAGTTATGACTCACATATTCTAACATGTTTGATAGATATGATTGGATGTCAAGGCATTTCATATCAAAACAACTTGATTTTCTCTTTCTCTCTCTTCCAATAATTAGGAGAAGAATCACTTCAAAATTGTATCATTTTAATAAATTCTAATTAAAAAAGGATTAAAAACTTTATTTTTAAATTATGAATTAAATTATTTTTGATCTTTTTTATGATATTTTATTAAAATAATGTAATTTTACAATAATTTTATTTTTAATTTTTATAAGGTAAAATAGATAATTACTAACACATATATATATATTCTTTAAAGCCCCCCCTTTTTTTGTTGGGGGGGGGGTGGAATTCATCTGAAATGGTTAGTTATGAGAAAGAACAAATTTTCTTTTCTTTTTCCAGGATACATATGCACATTTTTCAAATTATTAGAACACATCGAAATTGAACATTTAGAACATGTTTTTCTAAAAATTTTAGTTTAGACATGGAATAATTTTAGGAAAACAAACTAAATGAATAAAAAGAAAAGCCACTAGTTTAATTTGTGAAAAAGATAAGCTTTGCATCAATTTCTTCCGAAAATTAGATGTGAATCATGGTTCTTAAAGTTGTTGTCAGGAACCAAGCCCGCAAGTTTGCGAATGAAAAACTTACAACAATTGGCCAGGGAGAAAATAAGAACTATAATTAATTTCAAAAAAAAAGTTGTTGTACAGAATATATATTATTGAATCCTTTTATTTTTCAATTCAAATTATAAAATAAAAAATTCTATTAATTTAAATGAATATAATATTAAATTATAGAATGAAGAACTTAATTAATTATTTTATCTTAAATTGTACAATAAGAGATAATTTTCTCATGTCATATAACTTAAATTTAAAATTTTTTATTTTGAATAAAAAGAAGTTACCACTAAATTAATAAGATTGCTAGCAACATTTGATTATTTCAACTGAACATAATATACAAGATTTCACATCCATACATCTCCTAATTTATATTTGCCCTCCCTAGCCGGCCTACCACTGAGAAAATGTTGTTGGAAACAAAATATACTTAAGAAAGTTACCTTTATTGGACCACTGCCAACTCAACCATGGCCATGGTCTCCTTATCCATCACATGTGCCATGCCTTAGAGGGCAGTGCGTCTGCTTAATG